CCCCCCCCCCCCCCCCCCAACCCACATAATTACACATCTGCGTCCTTAACCTGCGTCCTTCCCCATCCGACGGTCCGATTCGATCCCTCACTCCCTAAACTTTTTAAACCCTAAACCCTTAACCCCTAAACCAACCCCCCCCAACCCCTATACCCACCTATCCCTCAACCCTAAGAATACTACTGACACTGACTGTCTGCCACGAATAAACTCATGTCAGAATTGTAACGTGTCAGTCGGGGCCAAGGGTGAGTCTAGTATGGATTTACAGAGTTCAGGCCGGAGTGGTGTGACGACCATGCCACGTACCCTTACTATAATAATAATCAAGTCTAGTCAGCCGTACCTAAAGTTAAAGTCCTAAAGGGTTGCATATGTGCCATGCAAATCAATCATCAATAACTACCACTATTGCGTGAGTTTACCGTCGTCCAGGTTCAACAAGATTGAACAGGGCGAGTTGCTGACGCAGGAGTACAAGGAGCTTGGATCGGTGCTTCAGCACAAGTCCTTGGCACAGCTGATCAAAGAAGTGGAGATTGAGTGTTCGAAGAATTCCACCTTCACCGTTATGACCATGAGCTGCTAAACTCAATTTGAGTAGTTGCCCTGAGTCATCGACACCAGCCTGTTGCACGTTCAGAATTTGTCGTTACAGATTATGACAAAGTCAGATTCACGTGACGGAGCGGTCGGGATATCTAGATTGTGTGTCAGTTGGCTCAGGCGACAATGCCGCCATTCTGGAGTGCCGGAACGTCATCCGGCCTTTGCCGAAGAGCACATCCAGTTGGGTTGTGAAATACGCGCGCGGGGGCATACCCTTTGTCACGGACGGCGCACAACGGCTTTGGTGCATGTCTTTGTTTCAGGACGGTGGCGCGGGCGGCAGCGAAAGCTCGGGATCGGGAGCTCCGCCTAAGCCCAACTTGGACTTGTCGTCGATCCAGGAGGCGGAGGAAGAGGAGTCCCCTCGGAAGGCAATCGCTGCGAAGCCGTTTGTTCAGGGAGTGAAAGGAGTTGTCCCTGCCAAGCCGGCACCGGAAGAAGGCACGGAGTAATGGGAGTGGGCTTCAGGGCTTCAACAAGAAACTAGATTAGACTCTTGCTGACTGTGAGAGAAAATGGTCTTGATAGGACCCGGGGCCCAGCCCACAACTAAGAGACTACGGTATTGCTAACCGTTCTGTTGCCAATGATTAATAACCGCTTATTACTATTTTACGGAATAGTTCCATCCACGGTGAACTACTACTGGACCGAAGTTGCGCAAGAGCCTTAAACTGCAGTAGGGAAGGAAGTTAGTGGACGAGACTTATATCTATGACTCAGAGTAGCAACAATGTCTTGTTCAACTGTTGGGCACGTAAGGGATGTACTATAGTTAGGCTGGTTGCGTCTGAGTTCGGATTCAGGAGTGTGCAGTTCTGCAGACTCTATATTTACATTTGTCAATTCCAGTCCAGCAGCTTGCCAGTGCCAGGGCCTGGACCCCAGATGGTGCTGGATACGGACGCCAAGATGATCCCGGTCTGTGCGTGCGGTCTCCACAAAAACACCTGCGAGGTGTGCGGCGAGGGGTTCGGAGAGCTTGTGAAGCAAGGACGTGCTCCGAGATTCGTACCCCGTCACACCCTCAGCCTCAGTCTAGTCTAGCCAGAAGACGAATGCGAGAGAGAGAGAG